ACGACCAATAGTAGCGGTATATAATTCATCAAACATTTTTCAAATAATTTTTTTTTTTTACTTCAGCCAGTGTTTCTAAATTAATTAATTTTAAATAGTATTCCTGATGAATATTAAAAGATCCTTAACATTATTATTATCATTAAAGATCGGATTTATATTCTTTTAAAACACCTAATATATATTATGATGCTAATATTCTCTAAAAGTCCTTCAAATATTCTCATTATATTCTCTTAACATTTTTAAAAATATACAAAAATAACCAATAACCATCAATATAATATGCTTCAATATGCGTTTTGAAAAATTTTTTTTTTGTCCACTGTTAAAACAATGTATTTTTTGTTGAATGGTTCTATCCTTTGTGAATTGTGTCAATAGGTTTTTAAAATTGACTGATTTTTTTAATTTTCAAGGCGACTTATGAAACTATAACTGCGTGTTTTCTTTTTATCAAAATGAAAAAAAAAATTGGAAATGTTCAAAAAAGATTTCTGGGTACCATAATATTAAAATTAATAATAAATGAATAATTTTTCTCACAAATTACAAAATATTCCAAAATATGCTAAATGGGTTAAAATATAGGTATTCCCTAATCTATATGAAATTTTCTCAAAAATGAAAAAAAAACTTTTTTTTACGATCTCGGAATTGAACGAATCGTCCAAATTTTTTACTCTCATAAGAATGCATAGACCCAGAAACTATTTGTAAAAACATATAAATCTGGTCTTTAATTATCATTATTATAATTTATAATTATTAATAAATACTTTTTAGAAGTTTTCATAAACTCGATTAATACATTATGGTAGTTACTAGTTATATTTCACAATTATCTATATATCAAATTATCAACAAAATATATAATAATTGAAACATATTTGAATACATATAGCCATATAGGTACCTTCATCCGTATAATTGAATTTTCGTTTTTAATAAATACATTCGTTATAAGTGATTATTTAAAACCCCTTAAAAGGTGTGCGTATGACGTCCTCATAATAAATTCGGTTTACAAATAATACGTTGCAGGGCTGAAAATAAATGCGTTTATAAAAAAATATTATGTAATTTACACGAACCTTTTATGTTGACAACGGTATAAAAATAAAAAAAAAAAACGTATGTTTTGTAACTTTGTACGTTTTAATTAGATTAAAATATTGTATCATTATTTATTATTTATATATACTTTTAAATTTTAATACCTAAAAAGCTAAAAAATGACAGTTATATTAATTTAAATTGTCAACCAAATCCCGAAATGACACATTATAGTCATAGAGACATAATATTATATTACAGTCATGCATCTATCAACATAGTATAAATAGAGATGCAAACATCCATTACCATAATAATATGTCCAATGTCCATATTGTTAGATATTAAATTATTGACGTGTCGAACATTCTCTGCGGACCGGTTTTCGAGAGTCTCCAGCCGACCCAAACTTTTGGCGAACAAACGTTTCGGCTTTTTTATCTGATGGTGGATAAAATTATGTCAGCGAAGGAGGAAGAAGAGAGAGCTAGGCAGACGGTCTAGGTAAGGTGACAGGGATCTTCAATCCTCGCTAACTCGTCAAACAATGCAAGCCCTCGGGCTGCCAGGGATCTACATAGATAATATTATAATATACTAGCAATCGCTACGGAAAATAGTCCTTGGCGGCCAGGGTGTACGGAAACTAATTTGTGGCAAAAAAAAAATTTATATTAGTAAATGCCCGTATAGAATCGTTATTATTGCTGTTATTATATTGTAAGTGTAATGTATTAATTTAAAATGAATAAACAATGGCTGCGCTGCAGATGTAATGCTTGAGCAGTTCCAGTAGCGTCGTCGATATTAGAAAAAAAAAAGATGTTAAATTATCACATTTGCACATAAATACAAAATATAAAATGGATAATATTATAATAATATAAAATTATTAAATGTTAAATAATTACAGATGGTACGACAACATAATACAATTGCAATAAAGGTGAATTTGCATGTAGTTTAAATTTAAAGTTTAAGTAGATTAATAATAAAAACTAATCGAAAATTGATGCATATTAGTTTGGAATTTGTTTCTACAAATTATGTACAAAATAAATGTATAAAATTGAAATTCTTTTATAATATCATACCCTAAGATAAAAAACTAAAAACTATAGATTTTTGGTAGGTATACCTACTGGACTAGTCTGTTATAACTTATAACTTATAAGTTATAACTACTTTTAAGTATCTATATATATTTTTAAAACATTTTTTTTAGCATCAAAATAAATTATTAACTTACATAAATATTACATTATTACATCATACACACATTTAAGTTTTTTTAAGATAAGAAATTATGTTGAGGGGTTTTGAAAATGAACTAATTGCTTCAAATGAAATGTTCAGAATGTTAAATTCATTTCTGGCTTTGTTAAAGTTTGAGCAGTGATTATAATGCAAGAAAAAAAGAAAACTATATTACAATCTAAAATATGTTTTTGAAACTTTAAGGAACTGTGATCAAACGTTTCTAAAAAAAAAAAAAGAATTTGTTAATTTAATTTTTTCTTTATTTTTAAAGGAAACAGTTCCTAGCTTTGTTCCTTTAAAAATAACTCGTTCCATATATATCATATTTTATACAATTTATTTCTATTTTACACAGTACCTTCCGTTTATTAAGAACCATTGGTTATTTATCGTAAAACTATTAATTAAATAGTTATTGGCTATTTCTGACACACTGCACACTACGACACACTAGGAAGTCATTTTTTCTTATATTTGTATATTTGTACAATATATTTTTATACTTATTATTACGATTACCCATCAATGTAAAATATGTACATGGGTTTGGAGCCACTGTATCCGACTTCCTGCAATTACGGAAAAATGACGAACAGCTGATGTGCCATACAAAGAGCCATAAGTAATTGTGCAACTAGCCCTAAGATCTTAGTGCACTATATTTTCTTGTTTTAATTTAAAAAGAAATAACTAGGTATAGATACTTGCAATTTTTATCAAATATTGAGAATCATTAGCACATTTTGCAAGTGCAATGGAACATGGAACTATAGGTATAGAAGTATTGTAAAATTCAAATTGAATTAAACACATGTAAATTTAAATATGGCTTCTGATTATTGATTAAACAAATTATATTTATTGTTAATTGTGTTTGTATATAAACTGAATTAAATTTTTATTTATTGTAGTATGTATAATTTACTTACCAATATCTTACACAATAAATATACGCAATTAGTGTTAATGACACATTATGGAGGTTGAATGTCCTGATTATACATACTAGTAGTTGAATAGTTGATAAATAGAATATAAATTGTCAATACTAAGTTTTAATCAATGAATGGAACTGGGTTTTAACTTAGTATATTATTAATTGACATTAGACTATAAAACAATATATTTTTTGACATAAGAATATTAAAAAATATATTTATGCTATACATCAGTACTTCTCAATCTATTTTTTACGGCAACATCTTAATTTAGATCCATAAAAACATTTAAACACATTTAAAACAACTAATGGATTTTTTAAAATGTTACAATTATAATCTTTATGGTTATATTTTGGGAATTGAGATTTGAGAATGAGATTTACAATTATTGTTTTTCTAATTTGTAATCTGTGGTTTTTACCATCACATCATAACATCATAATAATGTTATACATTTATTTGTACATATACAATATAATTATATTTTTCTTTTTTTTTTTTGGGGGGGGGGGATGTACTTGTGTAGCGATACACCGTTTTAAAATTGTTGATATACATTATAAAAATTATTGTTTTTAAAAATTTAAGCTGGTAAAGAATATAAATTAAAATCAATACTAATATCATTACTATATAGGTAAGTTTTATAAGTGCATATTGTAAAGTATTTAAATATTTAAAATATTATTTTGTTTTAAGTTGTAAAAATGTTGAATTGGTTAAAAATAAACGTTATTATCTTTACAGCAGTAAGAAAATGTTTCAAAATATAGATTGTCTTGTTTCTAGCGTACATTTTTTTTTTTTTGTATATCTGGGATACAATTAAAAATAATTGTTACCATAGGAAATATTATAATTGTAACAGTAAATAATTAGTTTAATATTTATGTATATATTATGAAATTCTAAAATTCTAAAATTCATTAAGATCAGTTATAATAATTACATTCTCTAAAGACGATTGATTTAAATTGAAAAACAGATAAGAAATAGATAAAGAGTTATGGATAACCAGGTTTAAAATAATTTAAACGGCATTAATTTTTATTGGATTAAATTTATTTTTTATTTTTTTTTATAGGATATTGAAATCAATGAAGCATTTGACTTAATGGACACACATGGGCATATGATAATTAGCACAAGAGATTTTAAATTTGCAATTAAGGCGTTGGGATTGGAACTGCCCCGAGATCAATATATACAATTATTATCTAGAATGGAAAGAGACCAAAATGGTTTTATAAAAAAGGAAATATTTATTGAAGAAATGCGTAAAGTATTACAAAAAAGAGATGTTAAGATTGATATGGTTAAAGCTTTTCAATTGATTGATGAAGATGACACAGGAAAAATAGATTTCAACAATTTAAAGAATGTTGCTACTATACTCGGGGAGCAAGTGTCCGATGAGGAAATTTTCAATATGTTAAATACTGCAGATGAAGATGGAGATGGACAAGTGAACCTTACTGAGTTTATGAGGATCATAGATAGAGCTAGAAAAGTGTTATAGTATAATATATTTATTATTTGTATATGTATTTTATTAAAATAATAATTATTACGGTCATCGTTTTTCTAAAATAAACAATGTTACATGAGTAAAATATAATAAAAATACTAAAAATAAATTTGATTTTAAATGTGTATTCTATATAAATAATAATAATAAAAATAAAAAATCTAGGTACAAAAAGTGCACCTACATATATCACTATTTCTCAGGAGTTAAATATACTAACCATACAGAGCTTTAAGGACACCATCTGTGATTATGTCTGGTAAACATAAACGTTTTTCATGTCGGTTTCGTGATGGGATGTGTTCACTGATCATATGAAACACTGGACGCTGATATTTGACATCTATTCTATGGCTAAACAACAAAATATAATGAGGTCAACTACCGTCAAAATGTTGGTATAAATATTTAAGTCCCTAGACTATTGGGACAAAGCCAAAAAAGCATACCTTGGCTGATACTCCAGCCCGAGGAATTCCATGACCTGTTTATATCCACCTTCGATTTTGAAAACTGTCTGTAAATACCTCTCCAAACCAGCTCTTCTTTGTTCGAGGACTTTTGGCTGTGAGCATCGTATACGTTTCGATGGAAATGGCGGTGTGGATATGGATTTCCTCAGCTGTAAGAAAACAAAAACTCAATGCAGTGACCGCATGATGATGGGCCGTTTCGGATCGTAAGTATACCTACCTCTCTGTGGAAAGCGTGAAAAGCACTATACCGTTTTTCCACGCACTCCTGGATGCCCGCTGACAGCACCTTGATTGTGTACACATAGTGCGGCTTGACGTCGTGCACAAGCCCGTACTTGGGTATGGTGATTTCGGCCATATTTACCTGGCCATGGTTTGTTTAACGCGAGCAAAACTATAACAAGGCAGCTGTCGTATACCAACTCTACCACTCGGTTGGGTCCGTTCGTCACTGACCGAAGGTGTAAACCGCATAGGCGGTAGACATTGCAACGACAATCCAAATACTCGGTAGATAAAGCTAATATTTACTTATTTATATTAAATTAAATATAATGGATCCTTGCCTCTCTAATAGTTCAACAATAAAAAATTAATATAAAACAATCGACCATTCGTGAGTCGTGAGCCTTTAAGTGTGTATAGGTACGATTATTCCGTATTAATTGCCATTCCGATTATTAATTATTATTATTTATTTATTACGTATCAGAATAAGTCAGAATTCTGATAACAATATTATTATTATTATTATTATTATTATCATAACCCATGGTTATCACTTATTATGTGATTATCTTAGATCATATATTGTATTATATGATCTAAGGTGATTATCTTATTCCATAGATAATGTGGTACAAGTGGGGTTGCCCCGCACTGTATCAACATGCGTTCGTTCTGGACTCCGTCGCAGGAAGGTTAGGTACACAAGTTTAGGTATTTGAAATGAATGAACACACAATGTCGTTGATTGACGCGGTTGCGTCGTAAGTCGTTTATTGTTAGACACCAAAATATAAATATGTGGTCGTACGCAGTACGACGATAGAGGGTACGTTTTGGGGTCGAGCGCATGGTCGTTCAGGTCGGCGGTATCGGATGTGTGCTCAATGCGTGCGCGGTCGAGCGAGCGTCGGTACGTAGGCGAGTCGGGCATGAGTTCGGAGGCCGTGGCGAGCGGTCGTGTACGGGGACCCTATGGGTCGTGTAAGTGTAACACGGCTCGTCGGTTGTCGAATCATGGCGTCGGGTCGGGAGCGAAATACTCGGTACGTGTGGCTCGGTCGAGGGCGGTGAGCAAAGAGAACGATGCCGGCCGGTCGGACGGCCGCGTCGTGAGCGTCGGGGACGACAGAGATGGCGTCGCCAATCGGAGACGCGAGATCGATTAGCGTGGGAACATAAATATATAAAAATCACAGAAGTTGTATAAATAAAACGAATATAAAATAAGTCACAAATGACAATAAAAATATGGTTGGTACCACGGAGCGGGTGGTAACTCGGTCGGTGAGAGCAAAGTGGTGATAAGCGCCGAAGTCACCACAATAATATAGATAATAAATTGTATTACCCGCGATTAAAGATGTACTTTAATCACGATTAAAGATATACAGGTTGCACGGTTGCACATCGCCCTGTAGTAAACCGCTTCCAGACTGATTTACAAAGTGACTATAAAAATCAGCTGTTAATAATTAACTAGTGGCGCTTAATGTCAACACTCAACCATATGTGTCGACATTTAGAACTAATTTTACACCTATATATCTATAATTGGTTAATTGTAATACTGCCGCTTGGAGCGCCACTGGTTAATTATTGGTAGTCATTTCGTATTTCACCTTATCAGTAGTCGATGTGCAACCTGTATATCTTTAATCGTGACTTTAATTAATGGTGATCTACGCCAAGGTGAATTTTAAGGTGTAAACACTTGGATTATTAGTCGATTGCACGGACGAAGATAAACCTTACTATACTATAATATCCGTGGTTGATTGAAAATATTACTCTAGTCAAGTTCACCACTAGATCGCGTTGAATACCCCTTAGTGTAGCAAAAATTATGTACTATTATATCTTAAATCGTGTGTACTACAGGACAATACATGAAAATAATATTATGTACGATGTACCTATGCAAATTTCCAGCAAAACACAATAAATTACATAATTACATCCGTACTCATTAAAATAGGTATTATATACATAATAAATAATACATTTTGAACTACGATTAAAAGAATGTCGTTTATTTATGAACTTTAATCCCTGGAGTGAAAATTGGCATTATGATTGCCTAATTGTTGGTAAAGCCGGGCTGAATTATATAAATTAATTATATTAATGAATCAATAGTGAGCTAATGATCCTTTAAACAAGATTTAATTGCCCACAATTGGTAGGTACATTAAATTCTTAGTGAACCATTAAATTAAATAAATTCTTTATGCAACCCAGCATTAGTCTTGAAAAAAACTACTTTTAAAATTGTGCTTAAATACCTACAAATTAAAATACATCCATTTAGGAATAAATATCTGCGTAGAAGTTTCACATAAGAAGTTTTGGAAATTGGTTTGGAGGGGTGGAGGGTGTAGAAACGTTTCTATAGCCCCCCACACAAATTTTCGTATAACTTCGAAAAAAAATGTTTACAAATTGAGGGTCTTATCGTACAAATTCCGTACTAAATATCGGCCAAAAAAAAAATACAATATGGGGCCCCCCGGTTTTAGGGAAACATACGAGGATATTTCGGTCTTCGATTAACGATAAAAAATTAAAATACTATGTTAAAGATCCGTTAAGCAAATTCTTGACTTGTCGTGGTATTATTATATAATTATTATAAATATAAAATATAAAATGTATAAATATATTATTATTATAATAAGAGTAAGTAATAATAATTTATATAAAAAAATGAATAGTTTTAAATATAAACTATTCCTATTTGGTGAGTATTTTATTCCGCACAAAAACAATGTGTAGATCATTTTTTCCCTATGGGCCTATCCACCCCTGAATATTACAATAGGTAATATTAATTGATATCTCTATTCTTTTTTACTATACTCGAGTATTTTTTTACATAAGTAAAGAGGTTTCGCAAAATAACTAGGTATTCAAAATTAGATTTAGAGAGAAAAAATGAGAGAAAATACAATACTAACTACTAAGACTATTAGCACAGCAAGTTAGACCCAATTTACGAGATGTGATTATATGTCCAACCACCAATTGCCAAGACTCCTTTTCCATCAGGCGTCCATGTTGCAGTTGCAGGATTACCTAACATCATTTGGAATATTTGAAAGAACATCTATTGTAGGTATCTATTTTGATATCATATACCAATACCACCATAACTGGAGTAATCTTTCCGACCAACTGTTGACCCCAATCTTGGGTCCAATCATATTCTTTACCCTAAATAATAAATAATCATCATTACTATTAAATATAAATATCTCACATAATTGTAAAAATGACCAATAGGCAAACCACCGGCACAGTGTCACTATTATCCACATTCCACACCATCTTTATGAAGCGGTGCTCTTGGTTTTTGTTTATAAAATGGCTCTGACTTTTGAACTTTTTTCTCAGCAATGTAAGCAATTTTTGTGTCATCGGGAGACCATTCTACAGTTCCAAATTCGGCTATAAATTAATAATCAGAATGTACAAAACACATTAAACTACATTTATAATAATAAATTATGTACATTTTATAGTTATTCATACTTACAATCAGCATACATTTTTCCGTGCACATCTAAAGTCATAATTTTTTTCCATTGAACAATCAGCCCATACTTCTAAGTACTGTTTGATTTCATTTTCAGATTCCACTTCTCGGACCAAACAAAAATACTTACATGATTTTAAGTATGGGCTCATCAACCTAAATGAGAAATGCGTATTATTTATTTTATTTTAGATTCCGAGTGGAACGATGAATGTATTGATTTTACAATGATGCGTGTTTTTTTTTTGTGTATGTGTACAAGATAAGTACCTAGTCGAAATAATGCTTTGATTTTCAAATTCAATATCTTGTTCGATGGGAAAGTGAATATTGTTCGTGCGTTGAGGAGGTCAAAATTTAAAATTCCTTTTAATGACAAGTAGGTATACCTAAGCTTAGTGTATTATATTTTTGATTAAATATTAATAATGTTGTAATTATACTAACTAGCTTTTAAAAAATATTTTATCCATCGGTGTCATGTGATTGTGAGTAATATTATAAATCGTTTTTCCTAGGGCCGGTGATTTTTATTCCGCAATTCACCGTCTGTATCTTATAGTTCAGTGCATATATACAGTGGAATGATAATGGAATGATGTATAGTAAGATTAACTTGTCAGGTGGCACTGTCGGGAGTCTTCCTATTCTTATTACTTATCCTTAACGTCATTGTCAAATTTGTCATCAGGCTTTTATACTGTGATGTAGTCTGTACTTTATGGATAAACAAAAATTGAAATTGACTCTATGTTTATGTGCATGGATTAAATACACTTTTGTGGTGGGCAGACTCCAAGTTCAATATAAAGTGTGAGGTACGATTGTACGAACAATTTTTATTTTAGCCTCTGGTGCTTACAAAACCCTACAAATTATTTACAAATGTTTGATAAAATGTTGATCAAACAGTTACACATTGTGCGGCAAACTTCACGGTCCTTAGTATAGGTACTGTACCGTATCGTATTTTGAAAGTAAACTGACCACTCCCATTTTCATATTATATTATTATTAACTTACACATTATTATGATATTTTCTTATTTTGTTGTAATTCAAAAACGAATAACCGTAGACAATTGAGATTTATATCGTACGTTTATTTATCAATTAATATATAGTTGATAAAATTTTCAAAATACTTTGACATGTTTTGACCTGTTTACGGACAATTTCAAATTTTTTTTAGTTTTTTTTCCTATAAATATCAATATAATTTTATTTATTAGGCCAAAAAGTGTCAACATTTAATACAAGACTCCTGATATATTGCTTAAATAGCAGTTGAAAAATATTAAAAATACATAGACACAATTTTTATTTGCGAACATTTAAAGTTCGATATTTGACAACATTTATCAAATTTGAAATTTAAAAATGATTTTGTAGTTTAAAATGTATAAAATGTTCAAATTTTATAGCTAAGGATTGAAAACTTACAACAAGGTTCCACGTAAGTAGGTTATTCTGTAACAAAAAAATATAAATCACGGTTTTTTTTTATTTTCATATTTGGAGGAAATTACATATTAAATAACCAAGAATAACGATTTTAGTTATTTTGTTGTAATTTTATAATATTAATTCAACTTACTG